TAGAGGTCCCGCAATAGTCGAAATTCGACTATAATTAATTGGAATTGTAAGTTGGTACACTATTATGATTGTATTTTATACTTCTGTAATCACAAATTTCGCCAAGACTACACTATAAAAAATATTAACAAAGACAAACAATATTTAATCTCAATTTGACAACAGACGTCAAGAACAACAGTTTGACAATAAATAGTATGCATACGTGTGTGCGTCAAATACATGGTATGTAGTGTGTGTAATGTTTTATTTATTGATTTAATGTATATTTTATACATTATTTAAAAAAAATATTAGCATTGTGCACTTCTTCTCTATATTCTCTATAAATGTGGAAAATTTCGTACTCCTCCGTCCGCGCAATTTTCGTAAAAAGGGATACAAAGTTTTTGCTTCACGTATTAATATATAGATTACTGTTAATTTTAGAAAACATTACGAGTAAACAACTCAAGAACGCCTAAGATTTTATAAGTCGAGATGTTTTATTTACCACACAATGATTTCGTACACAAGCATTGGGTTATATCAGAATATATATCGCCGCCTATTGCTGCTATTAATTCAAGGATTCTGGATTAAGAGCACCTATGAATAGGCGCGCATGTTAGAGGCAAAGCCGAGTGCTCTTCACACCCCGTTTAACATACAATTACTATGAACTACTGAATTATAGCTTGAATAACCATTGTTATGGTAAAACAAACGGGAGCTAGCAAAGCAAGATTTAGCTTAAGCGAAGCCTTGATCAAATACAGAAGATTCTAATTTTAAAAGTATTCTGCTAAAATGTACTGGACGCGTCCATCCAAATGTTTTATTTGTTGAAAAATTCACGTAATACCTTAATTAAATAATTATCTTATTTATTTAATATACAAAATGCAAACCTTAGTTATCAGTGAAGCAAACTTCATTAAACACAAAATAACAAAATCGTTATCACCAGTCTCCTTTTTGATTTCGAACCTTCGAAATTTGAATTTGACTATAATTTGGGAACTACGGGTATATAAGTTATATTATTTTATATGTTATTATGTATGTAATTATAATCAAAATGCAAGTCACGCAAAGAGCCATGGAACGGGCTATGTTAGCCATTTCTCTACGGGATAGAATGCGCAATACCGAAATCCGTAGAAGAACTGGTTTGACTGACATAGCCAAAGTGATTTCTCGGAAAACGTGGAAGTGGGCCGGCCACATATGCCATCACACTGACAATCGAAGCGACATATATATATGAGAAATTACGAATTCGTAAATTGGTTAAAAACACATTTAATTATGAGTAAATATTTAAAACTAGCCCGGCAGACTTCGTAGTGCCTCAATCGATAAATAAAAGACCTAAACTTTTGTATAAAATAAACTTAAAACAAACAAAAGGAATCCGTCAGACGGAGGACACATCAAAGGGAAAACAAAATTGTTATTTTTATTTATAATAATTCCGAGCATTTTCATATTTATCATCTACCTTTTAAACCTTCTCTGGACTTTCACAAATAATTCAAGACCAAAATTAGCCAAATCGATCCAGCCGTTCTCGACGAGACTAACGAACAGCAATTCATTTTTATATATTATAGATAATGATTTCCTTATAATTCGTTCAAATGACGACCACGCCTTGCCATGATATAACTAGCCTAATGTACGAAAAACTTGTAGAGTTCGCTTTTAACCTATCGCGTGTTGATACTAGAAATGCTTGAACTACAAAATCTATGGGACTCTTTACTCAATCAGAAAATACTAACAAGCAAAACAAACCTCATAAATTATTATTCAAGGATTAGAAAACTACGTGGATGGTCTTCATAATTTTAATATCAGCTCGGCCCTCAAAGTTTTGGGAAGTGAACATTTTTGAGCATTTCATTTTCGTAATGCCTTAAATACTGTGTTAATTTCGCCCTTAGATTGGAACGAAGGGAATGCTTTGACTCTCGACCCCTATGGGATGCTTCTATTTGTATTTGAAAGTTGTTTTTGGGTATAAAATGCAACAACGTTCATAGCATTCCAAGTTTGATTTAAATTTTACGATTGATGTTCGGGGATATTCATGTTGACGTTCACATTCCTAACGTAAATAAAACAGAGAATGTTTGATTAAAAACAAAATTTAATATTTTGTTTATTAAGAATTTATATCTTATACCTTTAAACGAGCAATTCTTGTATATATATAATCTGAATCTCGGAAACGGCTCCAATGATTTTCATAAAAAAAAATATACAGGGGATTTCGGGAGCGATAAATCGATCTAGCTACGATTTATTTTCAGAAAATGTTGTTTTATTCGTGTTTTCAATAATCAACTCTTCCCGACATCTTTTGGCGAATAATAATACTATTTTTCTTAATACATAACAAGATGCCGTTATAAAAAAAAAAGCAAAGCTCGGTCATCATCTAACATATATTAATACGTGAAGCAAAAACTTTGTATCCCTTTTTACGAAAATTGCGCGGATGGAGGAGTATGAGATTTCCCACACTTATATAGAATATAAAGGAGTGTAGAATGCTAATATTATTTATTTATTATGCATTAATAATACATTACATCAATAAAAAAACATTACACATACTACTATGTATTTGACACACACACATGTATAATAATATACTCTTTATTTATTGTAAAACTTAAGCTTTATTTTTTATTACTTAGATGGGTGGACGAGCTCACAGCCCACCTGGTGTTAAGGGATTACTGGAGCCCATAAACATCTACAACGTAAATGCGCCACCCACCTTGAGATATAAGTTCTAAGGTCTCAGTATAGTTACAACGGCTGCCGCACACTTCAAACCGAAACACATAACTGCTTTACGGCAGAAATAGGCAGGGTGGTGGTACCTACCCGTGCGGACTCACAAGAGGTCCTACCACCAGTAAGACAATGTTATTATTAAAGTCTGTGGTCAAATTGAGAATAGGTTAATATTGTTTATCTTAAATATTATTTGTCTATAGTGTAGTCTTGGCGAAATCTATGATTATAGAAGTATAATAGTCTTTGACAATAGAACCGGAATAACGTTCAAGCTTGTAATTTCAATTAATTATAGTCGAATTTCGACTACTGGAGGACTACTATAATATTTAACACTATGTAGAGTAAATAACTGTCTATTTTTTATATCTTATCATTTAATTTCGTAACTAAAACAAACTCGCTGTGTCGCGACGATACGGCTATGATTACTCTGACCTTTAAATGGCATCAATATTGATGGACTAAATTTATATTACGCATATTGTAATTAATTACTAAAAAAAAAATCGAGACCTTATTTCTATATTTCTCAGCTATATGTTTGTTATCTTTGAAAAATACAATACATCATTATCTATAAACTAAAATACTTCAGACATTACTACAGATTTGCTCGTTTCAAAACAAATAACAATTCCCAGAGAAGATACAATATTTTCAAAGAATTTAAGGTCAGAATACAGTGGGCAACGACTTTCGAAGATATCTTCATGTCTACAGGGTGCTCGTTATATGAATTAGCCGTCAGACGAAGAAAATACTTTAAATGCAGAAAGGAATTTAATAACAATTCATTTTATATTAACAACTGTATTCGCGTGGTTACGTGAATACAATAAAGTTAGGAATAGGAAGCAAATTTTTCTCGTCCATTTTCTTCTATCAGCCGTCAGATCAACACTCACTCCTCTCTCTCTTATATCGTCATTCACACACTCCATCCATGTTTTCTTCGGTCGACCTCTTCTGCTTCTACCTTGCACTACCATTTCCATACATCTACTAGTCACATGCATCTTCTCTCTACGCATCACATGTCCATACCACGCTACCGTCCGCTCTAGAATTTACGGGAATATACTCTAAGTCCTAAATTTCTTGCAACCCATAGCAAAGAAACACATCCAAAGGAATCATAATACTTATATTGGCAATAGAGCAAATCTTGATTGCACAGCAGTCTCATTAAAAACCAGATGAATGGGAACAAAAATTGTATCAACGTTACAATTGTATTCGTTTAGGTTACTAGGTTAACAATTACAGCTGTTCATGACTTACTGTCTACAAACGCATTATTGTCATTATCAGTCTGTGTGACTAATTGAATACTAGGCCAATTAATTAGGATATTCGATTTAATATGTATTGGACTTATGCTTACACTTTAGGTTCCGTACATAAAATTATTTGTTTTTAATAGTTATAATTTCGTGGTTAAAGGTTCCCAATAAGTAGGTGGATATCAATTTAAACAGTTTATTTCGTAATTTGGAGAGATAACCATCATAAAATTTGATTTTTTGTTGGAGCACTAACTATAGCTACAGTTAAATAAATGCTTTCATCTACGCTTAGAGGTGAATCTAAGTAATAAGGATTAGCAAATGCTTGATTGCTTAGCGGATAATAATTAGAGAAAAAATAATTTGCGGAAGTCATCATGGGAAAACTCAATTGTAGGTTTTGAAAAAGATATCCAGTACCCACAGACTGACCAGATGAAGACCTCGACTAACCCAATAAGCTTGTGAGAGTGAGAGCACTTGAATGAGATGGCACGGCAGGAGAATAAAGCGGTTGCAACTGATCATCATTATTGACCGCGACATCACTTCAAACTTATTCAAAGATTACTCGACTAAGAATAATACGATCTTCTGTCTCAAGCTTTAGCTGGTTTTTTCAAATGAACCCTGAGTTTATATATCTATACAATGTGCCAACAAAGCTAAACTTTTAACAAAGAATTCTTGCAACTATCAAAGTGGGTTGCAGTGTGATTCACTGACAAATTGTAATTGTAAGTAAATGCTTAAAAAGATAAACTATATAAAAACTAATCAGTCTTTAGAGTAATATCGCACACGCTGTATTTAATAGCCACTATAACTTTATTATATTAATGTTAAATATCTTTATATAAATTGCTATTATAACTCAGTCTTTGTTAAGATAAAGCTGTGAAGGAAGAATTGTTAAAAATGTGTATTTATTTATATTACGTATTTTTCTTGTATTTAATAGGAAATGTGAATACCATGTCCTTATACGGACCAGCTTTGACAAGGTATAATCCTTGCGGTTTGGGTATAATATATTTCGACAATGTAAAGGGATTTGACTGGCGAGCAGTAGTGGATTTCGGACTATACAATAATTTAGAAAAAGTTGAAATGGAAGTTTATTTCGAAAAGGAAATAAAAATAAATAAGGTGAGTAATTGTGTTTAGATTAAAATTTTAACAGAATTTATTTATTACTAGAGGTCCCGGAGTATTCGAAATTCGACTATAGTTAATTCGAATTGTAAGTTTGTACACTATTATGATTGTATTTTATACTTCTATAATCACAAATTTCGCCAAGACTACGCTATAAAAAATATTAACAAAGACAAACAATATTTAATCTCAATTTAACAACAGACGTCAAGAACAAAAGTTTGACAATAAATAGTATCCATGCGTGTGTGCGTCAAATACATGGTATATAGTGTGTGTAATGTTTTTTTTATTGATTTAATGTATCTTTTATGCATTATTGTAAAAAGATATTAGCATTGTGCACTTCTTCTCTATATTCTCTATAAGTGTGGAAAATTTCATACTCCTCGGTCCGCGCATCTTCATAAAAATGGAAACGAAGTTTTTGCTTCACGTATTAATATATAGATAATATTTAATTTGTGAACTAGACCTTTCGGTCATTGTTCAAAGTAAATTTAATTCGAGATCGTCATATGTAGGGAATCATTGGTTGTTTTTGAATTGTTTAAATTTTTTTTATGCATTTTGATATCATCAATACACATGAAACTAGCTCATTCAGAATTACTGCTCTATCGCAGTTCATTGAAAATATATGCATTTATGTGGCCAATGGTTTTATCTACTAAATAGATATTACTAAGTTTTACAATAATAATTTTAAAAGTCTTCAGTTTGGGCGCATCTTAAAATACTGCTGGATAAGTTAGTTTTTAATTTACGGTATCAAACTTTATGTTGATTCCGTGATTATCTTAGTTTGCATAAAATTCAATTTAAACAATGTAATAAATAGTTGCAATCGATACATATTTATGATGCGAAACGATTTAATTCAAATAGTATGGTTGTTATTATTTAATATTAACAACTTTTGTTTGACTTCTAGAAGGATGCTAATTCTGAATACTGAAAAACACATGTGAAGTTACATGTTTTTTCAAAAAGTCATCAACCTGCCGTCAATATTAACGCTGTATACAGTTGACTACAAAAACAATAGACTTTATAGTACCAGGCGCGTCTTTCAATTGGAATATTGCTTCTATAAAATTAGGTGTTTAATAATTATAATATGAACTATGTAATATAATATAAGCCTATTAACAAGAGACGTGACTGCCGATGCTTACGATTAGTAATAAGCCGGTAGTGAGATGACTGAGTATTATTAAAGTGTCCGTCAAATCTTTATATGGAAAAGATAATGTTTCACATTCCTAGTACAATAATGTTTTTGTTTAGGCATCACAAAATACAACCTTCGTTGTTGTAAGAAATAATTGGCATCATATAATAATTCGTCCGATCGGCCCTTTACAAGAACGTTTCACGTTTGATCTGAATATACGAAATTCGAGTGGAAACGATGTACCCGTCGTAACGAAGTTCTCAATCAACAAAGTGATTCTTTGTAATGATGAAATCAAGGTAAATAACATCTATTATTATTATCTCGAACGATTAACCTTAAAGATTACGACCTAAATTTTTTATGTAATTTAAATAGTTAATTCTCTCATTGATCCTTTTGAAAATAATGAAGCCGATAAGCGATACCCGCTAGTCTGATCTGGTTAAGACGCTCACCGGCCTGCCAATAACCGAGGCTGTAAAGACCGCCGAGGACAGGAAGACGTGGGGAAGCATTGTGCATCCAGTGGTCCACATTTTAAATTAGTAGACCTTCAGTAATGAAGAGACCGACTCAGAAGACAGAAGAAAGCCGATAAATACCTACATATTTTTAAAGGGTAGTTTGAAATAGCTTAATACTATACGACATCCAAATGAACGAATAATGAACTGAACAAATACACAATGTAATAAACACGAAAAACCTTTATTTTTATATAGGCAGGGCGGTGGTACCTAACCAAGCGGACTCACAAGAGGTCCTACCACCAGTAATCTCAAAGTAAACTAATCGCTTTAGCCATTTAGAATTTCTAATTAGAGCATCTATGATTTTATTAAATTGACCATGCATCTGTTCACTATAATTCAAACATGTGTTGCAGGCCAGACAAAAAATAGGCTCCTACGACATAACAAACAAATATAATGGTGGAAAAAGATATGCTCATGTATGTGGCCGAAGATCCCTGGAAAATACCGAATTGACCTCTGTAAGGACTGAAGCAAAGGCAGGGGATTGGCCGTGGCACGTTGCTATACTGATAAGACAACCAAAATCAGTTATAGGTGTTTACAATTGTGGTGGAACCATCATTTCAAGGAGAGCAGTTTTGACAGGTATTTAATTTACTGATTTAATTGTAATCAACGCACATCATCTGAAGGCATTAAGCCGTTGTCCCCGTGACCTTGGTAGCACCCCGTGAATTTTTCGTGCGCCGGTTTAAAAGTCGGCAAGAGATGCCCAAGATGACGACGCATAAAGTATTCTACATACGTGACTATAAAGAGAAACCGTGTTTTTTTTTCTTCCTACCTATGCTGATAGCCTTGAGAGACTATTTCAGCTTCGCCCAACGTGTAGGTGAGCTCACGGGGCTCAAACCGGAGTGTTGCTAACACTGCCCCTAGCAAGAGCAGTGTTTTGCAGAATCTACCACCGCATCGGAAACGCGACCAACTGAGAAGATCCGGCGAGAAGCTCAGTGGGCTGTGTCTGTGAGTTAATTCGCTCGTCGAGCCCTTCGTCACAAGCGACGGATTCGACGAGGACGGTGACCGGTGCTTGAGGTACCTAACAGCAACCTTTATGGATCGGGAGGATCCGTAATAACGTGTTTTGGGCGACGTCGATCCAGACTGACGACATTCAGCGATTCCCTACTAAGGTTTAAATTTGTTAATTAAAATATATTAATGATTCTAACCTGACTTTGTTTTCAGCCGGTCATTGTCTGTTTATGAATGGTAGCTTAGTTGAAGCAAACAATATTGTAGTAATCGCTGGAGTAAATAATCACAAAGATTTAACTCAAGTTGGTAGACAAGAAAGATTGGTATGTTCGCATGAATTCACTCTTTACCTGCTTGTATCTATTTACATATTTTCATAGTATTAACTCATTCAACTTATATATAAATACATATTCATTATTAATCCCAATATTTTCGCTGATACTCGATATATGCGATGTATGCTCGCTGCTTAACAAACATTTACTTTTATTGTGTGTTTACGGTAGGTAGCGGCTTGGCTCCGCCTCTGGCATTGCTTAAGTCCATGGGCGACGGTAACCACTCACCATCAGGTGGGCCATATGCTCGTCTGCCTACAAGGGCAATAAAAAAAAGTATTCCATAACTTCTTCAACAAACTTAATTTGTATATTAAATATTTTATTCGTTTAAATGTGATGTGAAAAATGTCACGACAAAATGGTTAAATATAAACAAAAGCTCGCTAATTTTTTTTAAATGCATATCGACAGGTGAAATTTTATTTGGTTTATGCAAAATTTTTGCAACTTTACAGGAGAGCCATTTAATCTTTATATATTAGAACTTAGAAAAAATATCACATCAAAAAACTTCTTCAGCTATTTGAATGGAGTAAATAGTAATTGTTGTTCAATTAAAAACATCGAACTGGTGATACTAATACCAAATAAAAAGGACCTTTAATTACAAAGATAAATTTCGCGTATTAGGCGAAATGTCGTTAAACCGTACTCAACAAATGCTCACGATTGACTTCCACGGTGAAGGAATAACATCGTGTAATAAAAAATCAAACTCGCAAACTTATAATTTGTGTAATTACTGGTGGTAGGACCTCTTGTGAGTCCGCGCGGGTAGGTACCACCACCCTGCCTATTTCTGCCGCAGAGCAGTAATGCGTTTCCCTTTGAAGGGTGGGGTAGACGTTGTAACTATACTTGAGACCTTAGAACTTATATCTCAAGGTGGGTGATGCATTTACGTTGTAGATGTCTATGGGCTCCAGTAACCACTTAACACCAGGTGGGCTGTGAGCTCGTCCACCCATCTCTGCAATAAAAAAAAAAACAAATAACCTTTCACCCCTCGATATATAGTGCACTTTTAATGTTTTTAGGTCCAAAAAATTATTTTACATCCCAGCTACACCTACACATACTCAACGTCTGATCTAGCGATATTAAAAGTTTTCACTTGGACATTCACTGATTATGTTCAGCCACTTTGCATTTGGGGACCTGTGTACGAAAAAACGAAATTATTCGGAAAAGAAGCAATAGTGAGTATCTAATGTACATGGTTTTACAATAAGTTAAATATCAAGTACCAGGTTTCGCTGGAGCTCTACTCCAGTTCTGATAGGCGTTTTACACGTCATATTGGGTCCTCTAGATCCACTAAGGGTGCTTCTAGGTACCTCAAGCGCCGGCTATCGTTCTCGTCGATTCGGCTCGACGAGTAAATTAACTCTCAGACACAGCACACTGAGTTTCTCGCCGGATCTTCTCAGTGAGTCGCGTTTCCGATCCGGTGGTAGATTCTGCAAAGCACGGCTCTTGCTATGATTCGTGTTAGCAACGTCATCAGGTTTGGGCCCCGTGAGCTCACCTATTAATTAAGGCGACGCTGATATAGCCTCAAAAAAAAATCTGATAGGCGATTAAATAAAATAAAAACACAAGGTCTAGTATATAATATATTAATAAAGGGCTAAGTATAAAGCTCGCGTCGTTAATTTACCAGAAGGTAGTAGATAAATAGCTTATAAAATTTCATTATCTGTGTTATTTAAGCCATTAGCTAGTTATAGAAGTCATTTTGATTATATTTTTCATGAAACCTTGTGAAACTCGTACAGCATAATAATAACTTTTATAGCTACAATATGAGAGCACATGGACATCATCAATGACAATGGCACCCCCCATCTTGAGACATGATTTCTCCAGATTTTACAGTAAAAATAATTTAAACAGGCACACAAGCAGGCTGGTAAAAAATATCATGGTGGTGGTACTATCTTTGCGGGCTCAAAAGACACTCTACCGACAGCAAATGACCTATATTTTTTCGGGTTTAATTTTTATTACACGATGTTATTCTTTGACTGTAGAAGTCATTTGTGAACACTTGTTAAGAACGTATTTCAGTAGAAAAATTTATACCTGCCTGCGGGATATTAACACCGCTATACTCGCGGAATATGATATGAATATGTTATTAAAAACACTTATAGTCACATTATCATAATCTTCAGAGTGAAATGCCTCTAAAGAGCATTTACGAATTTAAATAATGACATGTCATGGCCATTGCACATCGGGTATATGTATAAACGCATTCTAAGATAATAAACATATCCTCACATGGTATGGTAATCTATTAGAATTAGATACATGTACAAATAATAGTCACATGAAAATCGTAAACTTATATTTTGAGTCTTAATATTAATACGCTTTTATTAGCTTCAGACGTATGTATGTTAGTATGTAACGGAATCTTTGAACATGATTTTGACCCCCTTCAAAACGTCGGACTAACTCGAAATTTGGTATACTTATTAAGGACCGGTGACAATTCAATATTTAAAAAAAATTTAAACAAAAAAATATTGAAAATATTGAAATTCAACTAATAAAATAAAAATAAATAATAGTTTAAAAAAACTAAGAACTACTTCGCTTTTATAGAAAATCCAACTAAAAAATAGAAAATAAATTTTAATAAATTTTAATTTAAAATAGTGTAAGAAAAAAGGATTTTATTGTAAAAAAAGCGTGGGGTGCATGGTATCAGTAGTTATAAATATTTTATGAACAGATATGAGTAGAAGGGCTATTTTGATAATATCCTGAAAAGCACCCCACGCTTTTTTCTATAAAAGCGTATCTTGTTAGTTTTTTTAACTAAGCCTGTGTATAATTGAATACAATTTTCTAGATGGTAGGCTTTGGAGCTACAGAAAAGAACGTGCAGTCAGATATCCTGAGAGCAGCGAACACTATAGTACAGAATGACACGACATGTATAAATTTTGACGCGGACGTTTACCGGCCGTTATTGAATGAATTCACGTTTTGTACCGGCTACGGTCCTAAATCTGGTAATTAAAGTGTTTAATGTAATTATCGCTAGCGATACGCTGTTGGTAGACGCTTAAATATATACCAAGAGATATTTGTCAAATACTTTTTTTTATTTTATTGCTTAGGTGGGTGGACGAGATAACAGCCCGCCTGGTGTTTTTTTTTTTTTTTATTCCCTATGTAGGCAGACGAGCATACGGCCCACCTGATGGTAAGTGGTCACCGTCGCTCATGGACGTCAGCAATGCCAGGGGCAGAGCCAAGCCGCTGCCTACCATAAAGAACTCTCCGCAAGCCTCGTTTGAAGAAGGACATGTCATAGCGCTCGGAAAACACCGTGGAGGGGAGTTCATTCATTCATGGTGTTAAGTGTTTACTGGAAGCTCATAGACATCTACAACGTAAATGCGCCACCCATCTTGAGATTTAAGTTCTAAGGTATAGTTACTTTCCTTCTTTGTTTAATAATTAAAAAGCATAACTTAAATTTATCCGTAGTATTAGATTTTGTAGAAGGTATTCGTACGTAAAATTGTAAACGAAATTTCAGAGATTTTTTAATTGACAATTATACATTTTCTATAATATATGCTCCAATAACCATGCTGATATGAAATTTGATAATAAAAACATTATAGGTCTGGAATATTTTCAACCACAGTTGATCTATTAAAATAAGACTGAAATGTTTTTGAATGAATTTTTAGGATCAATGCGTAGTCTATACTAGTCTATACTAGTATTATAAAGAGGAAAGATTTGTTTGTTTGTTTGTATTGAATAGGCTCCGAAACTATTGAACCGATTTGAAAAATACTTTCACTGTTTGGAAGCTACACTATAAGTATTCCCAAGTGACATAGGCTATAATATTTTTTGAAAAAAAAAAAAAAATTGGGACCTTACTAAAACTCCAATAATGTAACCCAAGGTGTAAAAAAATTACCTAAACTATTATTTACATCGCGTGCCCTGCGAAAACTATTGATGATAGAATAAAATAATGTACTACGACTTTGTAGAACACATTATTATTTACAAAACATGTCGCGACAGTATATGTCTAACTATTATAGTTATGCCGCAATAAAACAACGTCAAATATCGTTGAAATTTTTCTTAAAGACCCGAGCGGAGCCGGAGCGGACCGCTTGTAATTAATAATTTGCATGAGCAAGAAAAATAAATCGGTAACTATTTTATTTCAGCTGTCAATCCTCGTAATGGAGACAGTGGAGGAGGACTCATAGTGAGGGCAATACAAACAGATCACAAAGTAACTTGGTATCTAAGAGGAGTCCTTTCTAAATGTGGAATCTCACCTGGACATAGCGAATGTGATCCTACCTACTACATGGTTTACACCGATGTGGGTCCACACTATGGTTGGATATACCATCATTCCGGCTTGCACTATTTAATGAATGTCGTGGAATAAAATGTAAGGAGACATAAGCGAAAAAATGTTATTAACAACATGTTGATATAAGTGTAAACAAAAAATTGTGATATTACCCAATACATATTTTTAAGATTATGATAATATTGTAACAAAACTCATATGCATAAGTTAGTGGAAAATATATTTAAAAAATGTGTTTAATGAACTTGTAAATTGTGTTTTTTTTTTAATTAGTACATACATTTTTTTACTAAATGAAAATACATATAAAGCAATCACTATAGATCGTAGCTTCGAATGCTCTAAGACTATAAGACTCATTAATTTTTCTCCTACCTACGTCAAAAGTTCGGTTTTCCTCCCGCTGTACAGGGAAGAAAGTCTAACTTTACCTCCCGCTGTACAGGGAAGAAAGTGTAGCTTTTCCTCCCTGGGTAATGACAAGTGCGCATGCGCGTTAGTGTCTACGTCTGCTCTCACGCACCTAAAATTCTCCGCCATTGTTGTGCTCGGGTAATTTGCAATATTGTGTTTAGTGTAAAAGTGAAATAAACAAAAGGCAATAAAATTTAATAGTGAAGTATTAAACAAAGATGAGTTCATCAGACAGTTCTTATTCAATTAGTAGTAGTTTATTNTGACAAGTGCGCATGCGCGTTAGTGTCTACGTCTGCTCTCACGCACCTAAAATTCTCCGCCATTGTTGTGCTCGGGTAATTTGCAATATTGTGTTTAGTGTAAAAGTGAAATAAACAAAAGGCAATAAAATTTAATAGTGAAGTATTAAACAAAGATGAGTTCATCAGACAGTTCTTATTCAATTAGTAGTAGTTTATTTAAAAATTAAAAAACAGTTAAATTGTTGTTTTATGAGTATGGGGGGGCTCCGCCCCCCTACCCCTAGCCAGTGCTTCGCCCCTGGATCCCGGCTCGGTACTCCACGAACTTTCGGCCTGGTAGGAGACAAAATAGTACGTGCACCAAGGGAGAAAAGTAGGACATTTCCTCCCGCGTGTAAAATTGCCACCCGCGCCGAAGGCTAATATACTATTATGACGCACAATGACAAAAAATGAAAGTAGTAAATTCAATAGTAAAACACGGGTATTTTTAACTAAAATACGAGTGAGAATCGTTCAAAAATAAATTAATTTCGTCAGTTTTATAATAAAAATAATTGAAATTACGCCAAACTTTGAAAGTGTTTAGTATCCCTTTTGAATACCCACGTTGTTTCTACAATTTGAATTGAACTCCTTTTCTCGGATTGCAAAGAATAAAATCATGTTTTATAAAAAGCAATTTATTATTAAAGTGACGACCCTCATAAAGACAGAAGCGTGTTGCGCTTCAGAAATTCAATTACACGGTTGTAGAATTCTCTAGAAACGTCCTGCGCTACGCTCGTTACTTTGAATCTACACAATTTTGTTTTAGGAATGTGTAAGTCACCTAGCTTATTCAGAATATTAAATGTGTAGTTTCAAAAAGGATCTTCTGTTATTTTCTGATTTTATTATTAAATAAATCACTATAAGGTAGATTATATTGGTTACAATAGAAAAGACGTAAAATATAGTATGTTAAATGAGCCGTTGGATATTATTTTTTCACGCCTGTTTTTCTAGTTTTTTTTTATTATTATTTTATTTATATGTAAAAGCTGTCAGTTGCATTGTATCCGTAATAGTTTTAGATTTTTAAATGATGGTATGGCTTGTTGCAAACTCGCACGAGCTGGTTCCACCAATTGGGCATTACAACTAACACAAGCCGTATTATAATACTATTGCGAGTTCTGCATCATATTTTAGGGCGGTCGGTGGTATTCACTCTATGAGCTTTGATAAACTAACTAACATCCTAATGGATAATAATTAAACTGATTTTCAGGTTTACATTTAATTTTACAATATTCAATGTTTTAAATATCACAAGGTTACCGATCGGAATCGCATAAAGGTGTGGTAAGCTTTTATTTGAGATCAAATAATCTTTCTTATATATCACCTGAATCACCTCGAGCTACTGTTGCGTCTGCTATTGGTGCTGTTGCTCTCGGCAACCTGGCGGAAGATCCGTTTTTTTATGAGGAAGGGATACTGTGTGTAATGGCCGGAAGACCTCTCCAGTTTCACCAGGACAGGGTGAAGCTTCATTTACGTAGAGCCTTTATTAATTCACTTACATACTGAACGATGCACTGACATGTAAGAGAAATTGCTTCTTCAAAATCCCAAATACCAAAAAAATCTAATACCATCGGTACTAACACGTTTTCATGAAAAAGTTACGAAAAGTTCTTGTGTATGTTTATATTTTTTAATAACTAGTTAAATATAAAGAATAGCGTCAGCCGAAGCCATGGCTGTATATGTAAATATGTTTTAAATTTATTATGGGCATGTGAATCAATACTTTCTCTTACTTGGGGTTCTATCCACTTTTACGCGAGCATATTTGTTCCCCTTTCCATTACGCAAAATGTCCTAGGGCATGTTAAGGGATCGAAATAATGAATAACATTGTTGTACGTGGCATTCATTTTTCATTGTTTTTAAATTGCCATTTAATTTACTTTTTACAATCTTTTCGTTTCTTTTTCTTTTTTGTTAGAATTTTTCAGACAGTCAGTGATCCGCAGAAGAGGTCGATAATAATGTTAAAGACCCGGTCGAGAAAATTCCATGGACGGCCGAATTGAAAACTGTTACTGTGATAATGTGAGATAATAATTTGAAGTCGTCGTGGCCTTAATTTTAATTCAAAGGATAAAAGGACAAGCCGTCCGGTGCATTTGTGTCGAGCGGTGCAACGGTGTTCGAATCCCGCGGGCGGGTACCAATTTTTGTGATGAAATACTTCACAAATGTTCACGATTGATCTCCACGGTGAATGAATAACATCGTGTAATAAAAATCAAACTCGCAAAATTATGGTTTGCGTAATTAATGGCGGTAGGACCTCTTGTGAGTCCGCACGGGTAGGTATCACCGTCCTGCCTATTTCTACCGTGAATCAGTAATGTGATTGATTTGAGACCTTAGAACTCATATCTTAAGCTGGGTGGCGCATTTACGTTGTAGATGTCTATGGGCTCCGGTAATCACTTAACACTTTAAGTCGTCGTGGCCTAACGGATAAGACGTCTGGTGCATTCGTGTTAAGCGATGCACCGGGTGTTCGAATCTCAGGCGGGTACCAATTTTTCTAATGAAATACGTACTCAACAAATGTTCACGATTCATTTCCACGGTGAAGGAATAGCATCGTGTAGTAAAAATCAAACCCGCAAAATTATAATTTGCATAATTACTGGTGGTAGGACCTCTTGTGATTCTGCGCGGGTGGGTACCACCACCCCGCCTATTTCGGCCGTGAAGCAGTAATGCGTTTCGGTTTGAAGGGTGGGCAGCCGTTGTAACTATACTTGAGACCTTAGAACTTATATCTCAAGGTGGGTGGCGCATTTGCCTTATAAGATGTCTATGGGCTCTAGTAACTATTTAACACCAGGTGGCCTGTGAGCTGGTCCATCCATGCAAGCAATAAAAAAAAAATTAAGACATCAACTGCAAATAAAAACTAACAAAATGCATCCAACAGAATTGTCAAGGTAATCAATTTGTAGTGTATCTTGTCTGACTATCTAACATCAGATAAATTCGTAATCCCTTCAACAATAATCCAAAAAAGTACGTGTACCGCTTATTTACATTTTCTTGGAGTTGTAATAAGCGAACATAAAGTGTGGTCATGAGTGGTCATGAATGTATGCCTGTTAGCAGCCGTCACCATGATTATCGGCTTAAATCAGCTGTAAATCTATCAACTTTCTTCATAATGCATTACTCATTTGAAGAAGGTTCCGGAACTCAAATTTTGTTGGAGCCTAATTGTTGATTTTGTAACAGTTTTGTGATTTATCTAAAACTCGGTTTGTAGGTTTTTTCTATATTTCATTAACGTCATTTACGATGCTTTTACAATCGAAATTTATTTGAACTTCGAATTAAAATTAAGACTTCTTTCGCATTCGCTTCGACGATAAAACTTACAATGTGACATTTGAAAATGTTAACAAACTTCACGCTTCGATACCTAGCACCTGGTTCTAAGTAGTTCAGACGTTGAATTATATGCTCCCGACATTTATTACTTCGATTTTATTGTAGACGAATGATAGTGGAAACTGTTTTATTCTGAAATAGATTGCAATGTTTATTTTAGTAAATAAATAATTAATTTGAAAACACGAAAGACCTATGATCATATTATTATGCTTAGGGATGGTCGCAGTAAAGTTTTGTGAAACATTGCGGGCTTTGTTCTTATGCTTGCTTGGTTCATAAATAAAACTTCTACCGAAGTACAAATCAAATTCTATTCTAGCACTTAAAGCAGTTAACAATTCGTAATTCGCTTCTTCCGCTTCGCTTCAGGTGATCCGGTCGCTGTTTCGTTTCGAGTCGTTCCGATTACTAACTGCCTTCGTGACATCCCTGCAACGCTTTTGTAGTCGATACGACATCCCTAGAATCATTGAGAATATTCCTGACAAGTCGAGTATTTTCGTCGTCGTGGCCTAAAGGATAAGACGTCCGGTGCATTCGTGTTATTACGCAAAATTATAATTTTCGTAATTACTGGTGGTAGGACCTCTTGTGAGTCCGCACGGGTAGGTATCACCACCCTGCCTATTTCTGCCGTGAAACAGTAATGCGTTTCTGTTTGAAGGACGGGGCAGACGTTGTAACTATACTTGAAACCTTAGAAGTTATATCTCGAAGCAGGTGGCGCTTTTACGCTGTAGATGTCTATCCAGCCAGTAACTTAGCACCATGTGGACTGTGAGCTCGTCTACCCATCTAAGCAATAAAAAAAATCAGTCCTGGTGAAACGGGAAAGGAGTCACCACTAATTCAAGCCTCCTCAAAAAAGTTTCTACTGGCCTGTCGGCGTTCAATTTTCTGCACGGTACACCAATAAACTATTTTAAATAAACCATTAATTATATAACAATATACTGCACATAACATACTGAAAGTCTCACTGAATTCCTATTTTTGCTTTATTAGATTAAATGTATGCCTGAGAGCGCTGAAAAGGTTCCAGGAGGAAACGTCGATGACACACTGGCTTATTAATT